TCATTTACTGGATCCATCCTGTATTGAATCAAAATTGACCTTTAATCACAAAGTAAATATTCTCATATGTATATATACTAGATCTGTTGCCACATTCTTTATTGTGTTTTATTAAGCTTTTTATCTGTTCCTTGTAAGAACATACAGTTGATTCTCATTATTTGCTGTAGTTTTGTTCTATAAAGTTCCTGTAAACACTGAATTAGTGAATACTGACCCATTGTCCCCAGGGGAAATACAGAGTTTGGTTCTGTAGCCAGAAGCTCTCTGGGTACATTTTCATCAACTGATCAATACATGACCTTGTTTTACGTATGTGTCTGTTTAAAGACACCTTATTTAAAAGATATTTTGATTCATTAACATTGAACTCACAGTCAGCACTGTAACTCATGTCTGAAAAAAGTTTATTTAACATATGTATTTTCTCTGTAAGGTACATCACAGCCTTCTTTCACTCGGGAACACTAGGTAGTACTTCAGCACTATACTTGGGGGTCATTTTTTAAAATTCATAAACTATTTTTAGAGCAGTTTTACATTCACAGAAAAATTGAGAGGAAAGTACAGAGAGTTCCCATATACCCTCTGACCCCCTAAGCACACAGCCTCCCTTAGGGGCCACTTTTAACAGCAAAGTCACCAAGAAAAATACCAAAAAAAAAAAAAGTGGCACTAAATAGGCAGCAAACAGGACACTTATTTACAGTATGAGAGGTGAAACAAAAAGACAGAACAGTTGCCTTGTTCCACTTCAGCTGGGATTTGTCACTTGGTATTGTGAAAGCACCAGCAGTATTGATTTGCAGGTTACAAATAAATTGTAGGGAGTCGGCAAATTCATAGATAAGAATCTGTGAATAATAAGGATTGGCTGTACTATTTTAATTATAATAGCTTTATAGAATGCTACTAATTTTTTTTATCGGGTTAAACAAGTCTCTCATTATTTTTCTTTTTCAAGAATTTATTATCTACAACTCCTACAATTCAATAATAGAAAGACAAATAACCCAATTAAAAATGGGCAAAAGATTTGAATAGACATTTTTCCAAAAAAGACATACAGACAGCTGATATGCACATGAAAAGATGCTCAGCATCGTTAGCCATCAAGGAAATGCAAATCAGAACCACAGTGAGAAACCACCTGATACCTACCTACCTAAGTATGGCTGTAATAAAAAAGGCAGTAAGAAGTGTTGGTGAGGATGTGGAGAAATTGGAACCCTCATCCATTACTGACTGGAATGTGAAATAGTGCAGCTGCTTTGGAAAACAGTTTGGCATTTCCTCAAAAAGCTAAACATAGAGTTACCAAATGACCTAGTAATTCTACTCCTAGGAATGCACACAAGAGAACTGAAAACATAAGCCCACACAAAAACTTGTATGCAAGTGTTCATAGGAACATTATTCATAACAGCCCTAAAGTAGAAACAACCCAAGTGTCCAGCATCTTATGAACGAATAAACAAAATGTAGTGTATCCTTATTATGGAATAGCACTCAGCAATAGAAAAGAATGAAGAACTGACAGGTGCTACAACATGGATGAACCTTGGAAACTAAATTAAAGAAGCCAGACGCAAAAGACCATATATTACATTATTCCACTTATATGAAATACCAGAAGGGGAAATCCATAGAGAGTGAAATCCATAGAAAGTGGCTTAGGGCTGGTGGGAAAGGGGTTAGAATGGGAAGTGACTGCTAATAGGTACAGGGTTTCTTTTTAGGGTGATGAAAATGTTTTAAAATCAGATAATGGTGTTGGTTACACAACTCTGAATATACTGAAAGCTGCTGCATTGTACACCTTAAATGAATGAATTTTATGATACATGAATTAAATCTCAATAAAGCTGTTTTTAAGAAAATGTATTAAATACACAGAGCGAAACAATGCTCTTTCCCTCCGGTCCTGCCCTCCTCACGCCCAGCACAAAGAGAGGCACAAGCCCTCCAGTGGCCCAGGAGTGGTCAGAGGTGAGGGTCTACAGGTCCCCCATGTGCCCAGTGTCCACCATATAAGGCTCTTAATATATTAACTCTTTCTGTACTCCTGAAGGGAGTATCCTCTATTGATTTTAAGCAATGACCATACTTCATAATTCATTTGTATTACCAGGATGCCTTCTGGCACTTAAATATTTCCCATTGTTAATTTGGCAGGGAGTGGATTGCTACCTGTTGCTTTTCTCACATATTTTCTCTTCTAGATGAACTTTAGAATGCAGTTGTCACAGCCCCACCCTATCCCCACTGTCACCAGTAAGAAACTCTGATGGGATTCTATCCAAGTCATATTAAATTTATATATATGGGTGTTATATATGTGTGTGTGTGTGTTTCTGCATAGACTTGACATCGTTAACATATTTAGCCTTCTCATCCAGGATCATGGTATGATATGTTTATTTATTCAGGTCTTGCGTTCTTCAGTAAAATTTTATAGTTTTATCTTCCATGCTAAATTTATTGTCAGCTATTATGAATTAAGTCATTTTTCCATTTCAGTTTTTAAATGATTATGGCCAGTACTATAAGAACACTTTTTGATATTTACATGTCTAGAGATCTCTATCTTGTGTTCTGCCACATTATTAAATTCTCTTTTCTTGTTTTCTTTTCCTTTCTTGATTTTTCTTCCCTGGGCTTTCTTCACTTCACTTGCTTTTCAAAACATCTCTACCTGGAAATCCCAAAGCTATCTAAAGCTCAGAATAAAACTGAAATAAGTTACAGTTAAAATGATCTCTTGGTCCTCTTAGGTCCAGAACTGCCTGCTCTTAGCCCATGAAGCACCTTTGTGTAAATTAGAAGACTTGCTCCTGACACTTTACTCCTTATCTCCTGGGGAAATCATCATAATTAATTGGTTCTTTTGGAACATGACACATTTTCTGTGGAGAAAATGTGGTAATAAATACATGCAGACCTCCAGTGTCTCCTGTGCTGGTGCTGCCTTAGGTGAGGAGCTCTGGTTCCATCTCAGCCTGCACAGAGGTTCTCTGCAGTGCTGCTTAGAGCTATAGATTGTGTCATCACTGCTTCTGGACTCACCCTTTCTTCCCAAGCCCACTGCCTCAGTTTAGACTCTAATTATATTTCACCTCTCATCATAGTACAACTCCTCCCTCCCCAAAAAAGGGACAAAAACAAAATACAACCAGGTCTTCCTCTTCCAAGCCTCTCTCTTCCAGGGCACCTGAATCACAACCCAAAATAACCTTCCTAGAAGGAAACTACAGAAGCCCTCATCACAGTCTTCCTTGGCAGCCTCTGTCCTTTTATCCCTCACCCCACCGCATCCTCCATGCTCTTCCCACCACACTCTGGCGCCTTGGTAATTCCTGTGGCCTCTCTCAGTTTTCTCATCTGTAAAATTAGAATAGCAATGCCTCATCAATAATTACATGGTAAAAAATAAATGATATATAACCTGCGAAAATGACTAGCATCAGGCTTGGCACTTAGCATGTTAGTTTTCTTTCCCCTCCCTCACAAGTACCTTGGAAACTGAAATGCTATGTAATTGTAACATGTCGTTATGATTACTTATGCCTCATGGTATGTCTGTTACCCAGAATTCTTGTATTTTGGCAAGAATTTATCATAGTTGACCTCTAATAAGGAACATTTGAAAATATTCCAGAAGGAAAAGAAAAAAGCATAACTTTGCAGCCTCAGTGTGCCACTGAAACAGATGCCACTAAAGGGCTGCCCCTGGAGGTTCGTTGTGAGCACTATGTGTACTACACTGTGTGTAGTCCTCTAGTTGATACTCTGCCTGTGGGCCAAGGCGAGTGAGAAGGGTGGGTGGCAGCTGCCTCAAGGAAATAGGTTCTGTCTGCAAGAGATGGAGGGTGCCTGGAGGGTGCTCAGGAGATGTGCTGGGAGCAAACACAGCCCTTCCCCGATGAGGACTTCTTACACTCCACTACTGCTGCCTACTACTGACTACAGAAAATGTTTTGTGGTTAAGAGTTAATTTCCACATGTGTTTATTGGTTTACAGAACTGACTTCATTTTGGCCACGTTTAGTTGTCTGTTGTCTTTTGTTCTAGGCTCTCTCCTGATTTGGTTTCCATTGGGTTTTAATCAGAAACCATCTGGTGATACTTTGGATTCAAATTAGAGTTTATCACAAACACATATCTCAGAAAACACAGATGAAACCCAGAGTGGAACAGAAAGAAAACAAGAAATAATTCAATAATATTATGAACAGAATAGTCTCGGAGGGAAGGAACACAGAGAAACTGAGAAGGACTATGTAGAAACAGAGCCAACCGCTCAGAGAAGAACCAGCCAGGGAAAGGTGTGGCGGAGCCAGCGAGCACAGTCCTTGTGGGTAGAAGCCATGGTTTGTAGCCCCGTCCCTCTGTGAGCTGGGACAGTGCTATCCAGCAGGTGCCATTCACTTTACTCCAAAAATGGGCCCCTGAGAAGTCCTGTCTCCTCTCCACCCCTTCTCTCTGTACCCTTTTCTCACTCTTCCTTCCCAGAGCCATCCTGGACTCCATTTGTACTTGTGAACCCAAGGTCTAGGGTGCAGATGGGCTCATCACTGACAGTGGACCACCTTTCTTCCTGCCCCTTCCCCATCTGCTGTAGCCGGTTCAGACTGTGGGTCACAGGATAGAAAACAGTAGAACAACTGCGTCTCCAACCCCATGTCGTTGAACGTATCTTCTCCAGCTCTTCAACTTAATTGCTGATTTGACTTAGGAGATACATGTACATGTTAAAAAATATATTTTCCATAAATTCTAGGAGAGTGTACAGAGAAAAGTACCTCTCTTTCTGCCTCTGCCCCGTGAGCCCTCTGTTCCCTTCTCTGAGGCTAACTTATTTCATATATATCTTTTCAGAAGTCACCAGTGCTTATCATTGTTAGCTTTTAAAAATTATTCTTATATCTTTCTGCTTCCATTGCTGGGGCTACTGAATTTACCCACTGTATCTGCTTTCTCCATTTCCCTTCCTCTCTCAGATTTTGACCCCTGGTGGACAAATGACTGTGAGCAGAATGAGTCGGACCCCATCCCTGCCAACTGTACTGGCTGTGCCCAGAAGTTACCCCTCAAGGTAATGCTCCTGGAAGATAGCCCCAGAAAATTTGAGAGACTCCATCCTCTGGTGATCAAGGTGAGCAAGAAGGCTGATTCCCCCACTGATTGACTGCCCATTTAATGGCTAGAAAACATCGAGTTCTGTGATGTTCCTGATAAGTAGTTCCGTGTTGTTTTGTTTCACTTTGTTTTCCACCTTGCCAAGACGGGACAGCCCTTGTCGTCTGAGGAGCTTCAGCGTTTTTCGTGCCAGTACCCTGAGGTGACAGAAGGCTTCACCGAAGGATTTTTCATCAAGTGGTGGCGCTGCTTTCCAGAAAGATGGTTCCCATTTCCTTATCCCTGGTGAGTGTGGAAAGGGACGCTCAGCCTGCCTGTGTGTAGAAAGGGTACAGACCAAATGTCAAAACAGTACTCACCAATGAGACTCCGCTCTGCCTGGCACTGTGTGAGCACTTTACAGTACACCCTTCAAGTCAGATGATACTGAGGAGCGCACTGTTGAAAAACCAATGATGAGAGATAAAGGGGATGAGCCGAAGAGGTGTGTCCAGAGGGGCACCGAGATTGCCTAATATGATCATAATTTACTTCTGAGTACGTGTTTAGCATTTGTGTTTATGCTGAATGAGTCCTGCGCATTGAGGACGGCAGAGAGAGCATGAAGAATAGAAGGGAAACATTTCTTGGCACTTGTTTGTGCCAGGCAGGTGTTTTGTGTCTGTTATTCACTGGTGATACTCATAATAGTTCTGGGAAGTAGGAATTATCATTGTCATTTTTCATATCAGAAAAGTTGGAATCAGAGAGGTTAATTACCTTGCTTAAGGTCACTCAGCCAGGATTGAAACCCAGGTCTTTCTCCCTGTTCCTTCCTGTGTCCCATAGAAAACATGGTCCATTTCTTGGGGTGAAAGTTGCTCTCTAGAAAGAAAAGAAAGGTCAGTTTCCTTCTAGAACCATTCCAAAGAGAATTAAAATTGCTTTTTCAGGCCTTGTGTTAGATAATTTCTCAGTGCTTCTGCCTTTCTTTAAATTTGCCAATTATCTGCATGATCAAATACTGGGTTTAACAAGCTAATCGGGTTTCCCACTGCGTGCTGCTCCACCTCAGAAGATTCACGATTTTTACCCTTTCTTCCCTTCTCCTCTTTCGCCTCGCCTGCTGTTACTTCAGCCTCTTTTCCAAGATGGAATGAATGGAGTATTTCTTTTCTTCCTCTATATGTTATTTTAGCTGGATTTTATAAACACTCCCACCCACATGGACAAATCGCGGCTGTAGAGTTTGTGTGTGTGTGCATGTTACAGTTAATTGATTTGGCATGACTCTTCTTCGTGGACCTAGTACTTCAGATATTGTCCTGAGATTTTTCCCTCTTCTTCCACCGCCCACATTTTTCCCACCCTTGCCGAGCTCTTTGCTAGTCATGGAGTTAGGCTGGCTTGCCCAGTTTAATTACCTTTTTCTCTTTCACACATTTTACAGGAGAAGACCTCTGAACAGATCACACATTTTACGTGAGCTTTTTCCTGTTTTCACCTACCTGCCATTTCCAAAAGAAGCCTCCTTGAAAAAGTGCTTCCTTCTTCAACCAGAGCCTATTGTGGGGAGTAAGGTAGGAAATTTTGACTTCCCTACCTCAAAGAAGTAAGCAGGCAGACTACATATGAATGGTCCAACTTATTCATTTTATAGCTAAGGAAACTGAGTCCCAGAGAGATTAAATGATTTGCCCAAGGACTCAGCAAGTTAATAGGAGGGCTCTCCCCACTGTCCACTGCCAGGTTGGCTTTTCCTAGAGATAAACGAATGAGAAACCTCAGACAGAGAACTGGAAAAGCAAAAAGCTTGGGAGCACGAAGAGGTTTGGGGACAGAAGAGCTGGCAGGCACGTGCCCAAGGCAGACAGTCCAGTTTGGGTGGCAGTGCTACTCACCTAGTTTGTGGCCAGGTACCCAGAGACCACATTTATGTCTCTGGGGCCAGCGGACTGGGCAAAGCTGCTTTGTGTTTGTGTCTGTTTACTTTTCTCTCAATTGCTCTTTTTTGAGTCTCATTCCTGAGGGAGGTTTTTGAGCCTGGATGGTTTGGAATAATTAAAAGGATGAATTTTGCTTTGTAAAAAATTTAAACTTGCTGAACTGTGACCCCTACCAACTCTGGGTTATGTCTTCAACCTGCTGACTATTGTTTGGCTCCAAATTTGCTGAATTGTGTTAAAAGAATTTCAAAGCCTTTAAAAACAATCATTTTGTCTAGAAGTAAGAACTTCTGTCTGCCAGCTGTAGGGTGGAGGTGCTGGGCTCCTGCCTCGGATTTTAAAGGCGTTTATCCTGCTGTCTTCAGCTAGAACTCGAGGCCCTAATGTGATTTCATCTTCGTAATTATCATATAATTCTGGGCAAGGGCCTTTATCTTGGGTTTTCCCACTTGAATCTTAAATTAATTTCACCAGTCTGCTTAACAGGGACACCAAGGAGCCCAGCCAAAGGGGTAAATACAAAGTTCCTCAGACGTCTATCAGAGTCATCTTGTTGTGGTTCTCAAGGATGTTTTGGGAAGGGGAGTGGCCCAAATAGGCAAAAATCCTGGGAGTCTGGTTTCTTAGAGCATCTGTTCCCCACCCTGGCCCAAGCTCTCCTTTCTCCACAGCCTTGTTACTCCACCCTTTATCCACATCCCTGGGCCCTGGACCCTGGCAGAGTCACATGTCTGTGGGCCCAGGACCCAAGAGGCAGCCTTGGAATAGAAGATAAGCAGTGGGGATTGTTGAGGGACCCTGGGGGAAGAGGTGAAGGGCTCTGAGGCCCGCTTTACCCACTCCACAGTGTTGCCCAGGGCTGTCCCATTCCATCCTGTTGTCTTGTTTCTTCTCATCCTGGGTGTGGAGGAACATGGTCCCACCCTCTCTCAGGCCTATATGAAACAGATACATCTGCTTGTTTTTGATTTTGGGGTTTTTTTCAAGACTGCAGTTGTCAGGACTTCTGCCAGTATTAGTTCTGTCAGTCACAGCCAGCTCAAGACATTAGTCCTCCTGTCACTACAACAGCAATTGAAATGACTCTAGTGTTTTCGTGGACACAGAGTCATGGCTGGGGCCTGTGGGAGCAGCAGAGAGACCAAGGTTGGGAGCAGGAGAAGGCTCTGGAGGCCCCAAGTGGTGAAGAGAAAACTAGGATGGGGTCTAGGGGGTCCTGACTCCTGATTTATAAAGGCATCTAAAGGATTTCCCTGAAGGGCAGGGGCTGGGAGGAGGGGGGAAGAGGGGAGGGAAGGGGAGGCCCTAGGGGTTATCTCTCACCATCTAGGACAGGAAGAGAAGCCTGAGCAAGACCAACCTTTCCCTTTATCTCTACTCCCTGCCCCACCCCAACCCCAGAGTTCACAGCTCTGCCTGGCACACAGCAGGCTGCACTTAATGCCTGGTGGTGGCAGTAGCCATGCCCTCAGAAGTGCCATCATTACCTGTGCAGGTGTATATCCTGGTTGTCTCCTTGGTTTTCAAAATCAGAGGCTGATCTCACTGCCATTAGTTTTTAATCAGTGTCATGATGTACCTGCTCACCTGAGTCTTGCCCAAAAGTGTAAAATTAAACTTGCTGCAGTTCAATTTTCATCAGAAGCCTGGCAGTAAGAAATAGTTTTCCATGAACATTGCCCAAAGGATATGCAGACCATCTATCTGGATCAAAACAGACATTCAGAAGATTGCATACTTAGACTATCATGTGTTGGCCTCTACTAGACTTTTGTTAAAATACAATTAGATATTTTGCCTTTGGCCTGCTTTGAAACTATGGCTAGAAATCATTGTGAATTATGAAGCTCGTGCCATTTCTGCCACAGGGCTGGTACTGAGGATGTTGCCTATGAAACTACACAATGTCTCTTTAGGAGAAATTGCAGGAGAAATTTTACCCTTGTCTCAGTACCAGGAGACACCATGCTTAGGAGAAACTAGTTTGTTTTTGTCTTTTGGACATAATCGTGCTTGTGTTATTGGTTCTGCTTCCTCTTGCTTAGGCTGCTAGGAAACTCAGAGCCTTACGTATAAGGATTTTTGTGTATTAATCTCCCACATCCCTGGGTTTTATCTTGTTTTCTTTTCCTTCCTTTTCTTCCCCCCTGTTTTTACCTCCAGTTGCATAGGATGCATGACCTGTTTACCATGGGCAGCGGCGAGGCCATGTTGCAGCTCATCCCTCCCTTCCAGTGCCGAAGACACTGCCAGTCCGTGGCAATGCCACTAGAGCCAGGGGATATCGGTAGGTGGGGCCTCCGGAGGGCAGGATCTTTTTAATTTATCACTCAAAAAAATTCTAAAAATTGAATATTGCCTTCACAGAGATTCATTGAGTAGAGTCAAAAAAAAAACATTCTTTTATTAACAGGATCAACACTTAATGCTTAAATGGGACAAGTAATAAGAAAATGTAGCAAAGAGAAATGTATGCACATTTACAATGCATGTGTCCGTTGGTCTTAGAGATTTCACGTTAGCAGGAATTATGGAAAATATTTAGAGTAATTTTTTATTTTCCAGATAAGGAGATTGAGACCCAGAGAGGAGAGGTGACCACCCCAAGGTCCCACCATCCGTTAGGCAAAACATCAGTCATAAGTGTCTCCTTTAACAGAGCTGAACCAGAGGAGGCAAAATTCAGATTCCAGGAATCCCTTTCTGTTCCCATTTGGTAATAAAACGATGCAAGCAGTATGTAAAGGCAACAGCCACACAAAGAAATACTACCTTTCACGTGGATCCCACAGCCAAGTCACAGCTTCACAGTCATGACTCACCCTTGGCTCCACGGTTTCCCAACTGTGACTTGTTCTGTGCCTCATATTCTAAAAATCCGTTCCAAAGAAATAGGTTTGAATCAATTGCTGTCAGTAGAAATCAATTTGACAGTAAAATTTTCTTGGCAGAAGTAAATAAATCAGCAAGCATCACCATTGCCCTCGTTCTTCTTGCCTCACAAAACCTGGGGGAGCCTTGAAGTCCCTGGCAGAACCCAGACTGGTTTTCCAGTTGATTTCTTTTAATTTTATCCATTCAAGAAGCCCCCAGTCCCTGGAAACCTCTCACCTCATTTGGAGGTAGGGTGCAGACTGCAAACTGCCAAAATTTCGTCCAAGTTACATAACTTCTATTTCCATTTAGAAATGAAGAAAATAAAAATAATGCACAAATTAAGCATTAACCAGTAATGGAACACAGCTGGCCTGGCCCTTGAGAATTACTGCACAAAAGAGGATTCTTGTGTGGAAGTTATTCTGAACCTGTCTTCCTGTAGTGGAGTGACGCTTCCAGGAGACATGACTATTGCACAAGTCTGTATGGCACTGTGGGTTTGGAGTGTGTAGTTGTGCTTGAAAACGTATCTGTCATATGTTGTACAAATGCCTGACAGTTCAGACAACTACAGAAACACTTTAGTTTTCCAAATTCCAGGTTTTCAGCTTCCACAAGCATCCAGGATGCTAATTATAGAATCAGGGGAAAAGGAAAAATAAATGGATGCCTGGCAATGATCAAAGAAGCTTTGCGCATCAAAGGCTGGTGTGGCTGGTCCAGAATAGCCTAAAATCCAGAGCAGGATACACGTGGTGCTGTGACTGCCCACTTTGCTGACCAGAAGGAAAGGAGCCCAGTGGTTGGCAGTGTCCTTAAAGGCCAGCACTTGACAGGAGTGTCAAGAAGGTGTGGAGACTGAATAGAACGTGAGGAAAAGGGCAAGTTGGGAGAAAATAGGACTAGGAGGTGCCAGGGAGAACAGTGGGCACTTGAAGCAGGGGTAGAAGTAGAAGCAATGGCCACAGTTAAAAATGAGGGCAGGAAAGCAGAGCCTGAGATTGGAGGGAGGATAATAATTTAGTGGTTGTGGGACAGATGGCAGCTCCTGCACCTGAGAGACCCTTAAGAATAACACTGTGACCAGTAGGTTCTGTGTTTTTTGACAAAATAATTATTGTCCTGTGAAGGTTGAGGGGAAGGGGACAGAGTTAGACATCACCAGAAAACCTGTGAAGGGAGGTGTTTTCAAGAATGGCATGGGTGTCAGACACCAGAGGCTGACGCTAGTGAGCCACACATCTGCCATGATTGTAGAGTCATCGGTCATAGTGACCTTCCTGGAGTCACCAAGCAGAAGTTAAATTCTGTTCAGTGCTCTCTCAGTTTAAAGATGGGTAGTGTATATCATTCTCTAGAAAATTCTCCATCAGGACATTACTGAAGTATTAAAGTTTTTAACTTTACCTTCCTAGCCTATTCCTGTCACTCAGGTAATACAGGTCACAGTGTTTCCCAGTTCATTCTTCAGATGACATATGACACTGGGGAGCAAACAGGAGCCCCTTAGAAAGACCCTTAGCAAATAGGGCTCTTGAGTTACTGACTTTGGAAAATGCCTGTCTTGTCAAAACACAGTGCACATTAGTGTACAAAAGGCTCTGAAAGGCCTTGGAGGGACCCAGTGTTTCTCAAATTTGCCTGACCAGGGAATCCATTTTTATTGGACTGTCTTATGGGGCACTGCTGTTTGCAGAATACAATTTAGGAAATAGTGGTTTGGCTTAGCCTGAATGTTCTCTAATGAGACCATATTATAGATAACCTCAGGAGAGTTGTATAGGGTGTCCTAGTGCCTCCCCAGAACCCGTCCTATCTTCTTGCTGAAAAAAGTGAGATCAATCTGAGAAGTGATGCTCAATACCAGCCTCATCTAGAGTATCCTGTCTTTGTAAACCTGCTGAATCATGATTCACAGTTACCCAGGTGAGGAGTGGTGATGAAGCACTTTGGTTCATAGTGGCCCCAATTGGATGTCAGGTTACAGAGAAGACTGATAATAACTGAAGATACTTAGGCCAGGAAGAGCTAAAAGACCCCCCGAGCAAGAATTGCCTCTGAGTCTGTGGGTAAATCCGAGGGCAGCTCTGGCAGACCTGCCTTGCTTGTGCCCTCAGGTGTGCCCAGTCCCTGAAATTCACATGCTTTCTTGTTTCCCTTCAAGGATATGCTGGTGCCACCCACTGGAAGGTCTACATTATAGCCAGAGGGGTCCAGCCTTTGGTCATTTGCGATGGAACCACCCTTTCAGAACTATAGGAAACAGAACTTTATAGAGGAAGAGCTTTGAGAGCTGAAGACCAGATTGAAATGGGAGAAATAAAAACAAAAAAACCGTGAAACCACTTTCCAGGGGTTGGTTACTTAGTTACCTGCCCTGTGCATGTGTGTATGAGCCAGCTGTGTGCTGGAGGCAAAGGCCAGAGCACAGCCCTTCCAACTCTTCCAGCCCAGCTGCTTGGCCAGGACTGCCAATTCCTGTCTGTGAGAGACTGACCTCTTCCAGGCCTTTTGGCACCAAAGCCTTAAGGCTGCCCTTCAGGAAGGGAGCAGTGTCGGTACATTCCCTCACTTGCATGGCATGATCCCCTCTGCTGGCTCCCTGGTGATGAGAGGACAGTCAACAAAGCCATCCTCAACCAAGTGGACCTGCCTGTCCTGTCTTTCTGGTCAAACCACCCTGTACTTTTTTTGGAAAGCCATGGATGATTAAAGAAGTCAGAGATTTCCCACACAGAATGGAATCTAGAACCAGTGAAAAAAGATCAAATAACTTCAAATTGCACTCAAGAAGTGCACTTCTTTCCCAGTGTCCGTGGCTCTTGGAGTCTCAGAGATGCCAGGTCGGAGTAGGATTGTAATTGAAATGGTAATTCCTAAGGTAATATTTTTCTCCATTCTATTAAGTTCTTATGCACACACCCCTCCTTTGCCTTCTCCCTCGCCTATCTGGATGGGTTCTCAGAAGTTGGGCTCCTGGCCCCCCTCCCTTGGCTGGGCCAGAGCCCTTTACAGCTGAGGCAGCACTGCTCTTGTCAACTGTGTTGCTTTTACCAAATGTCTTCAGAGGGGGATGAGTTAGAGTGCTGGCCTGGGGACAGGGTGCCTCCCCGAGTTTGATCTTTAGGGTCCGACTTTCTGCAGGGAAGATGTTTTACAGATGTGTCAAGTCGATGTTGTAATGTGGTTGGGGAAGGAGCTCCAGACCCAAAGTCTTGGCCAGCTGGGTGTGCGACTGTGTGATCCTCTGTCTCAAAATGATCTCTCTCTCTGTACTGGGAAACAAGGTGAGGTGTTTTTGTTTCTTGTGAAAATATGAAACTGTGTTCTTTTGATTGGATGGTTCACTATGCTCATCGTTTTCCCCAAGTGCTTTTTGCATGTCTGAAGTGTGTAAATAAGGACACTTCTCTTGTTTCCTTTTTTCCTTTATTATTCCTTTATTGACTCTGTTAGATATCTGGCTTCTGGTTATGCCATCACCAAGTTGAAGAAGAAACAAAGCACACTACAGCTCCTGGTTCAGCACTGCAAAAATCAAATAGATACAGGACGTGTCTGTGTCAAGTTACAGGCCAGAGGCAGACAGTGGTGTGGGAAGAGGTGGTGACTCTTTGCAGAGTCCTCTTCATCCTTGGAGGTGGCCCTGCAGCTTGTCCCCTAGGCCCTGTTCCTCTGCACATCTCATGAGCAGCAGCGGGGATTATCAGATGCTTGAATGGGCAAGGAGGGTTCACAGAGCTCAGGGTGGAAGTGCTCAGAGCCTCCTCCGCTGGCTTGAATGAAACTAGGATGGACTGTATCTGAGGGAATTTTTCCTTAAAAGAATCAGCGCCTTATGTGAATTAATACAGGAAAAACAAAATTTTTTGTACACATAAAAGTCATGCTGCTAAGCAGTTATGATTTAAGAGGTTTTAAATCAGAGGGATCATTTAGAGGCCAGCTTTGTGCAAGCTTTTAGAGCCTTTGCGGTGTCCTTACGCCTGCTGCACAAGGGGCAGGATTATAGGTAAACAAGTTCTTTAGAGGCCTCTCAGAGTTTTCTTAAATTAGGCCCTTTGGGTTAACGGAAGAGAGGGTTCCTTAGGAGCAAAGCAACTGTTTTGACAGTTGAATTTCTGTTTTGTTTTTATGAATTACTCTGTGTTCCTTACCCATTTCACTCTGGCTGATCACACCTTAAATTTTCATAAAATATCCTCTTCTGCTCAAAACTGAAAAACCCTTGTATGTGTGGTGTTCTGAGGCATCCTCTGGGAGGTCCCCTGACTGTCTACAGTTCAATAAAGAATGGTGTGGCAGCAGAGAAGTAGAGACTTTTGTTCGTATATTACTCGTTTTACTTAAAAGCTGTCCAGTTCAGAATTGAATGTAGATTTATATTAGGGGAGAAATTCTCCACAGAGAGTTTTCTGCTCTTAATTACTGGATACAGAGAAGTAATTCACCTTCGTCTCAAGGCAGTTCTGAAAAGCAGAATCTACACTGACCAGTCCTACAGAAATAGCTTGGGGTTGCCAGCCAGTTCCTTTCTGGTTATCCAAGGCTTTGTGTGAGGGTGTCTGGGGTTTCCCCTGCTCTCCTAGCTCTCACCTCCTTCATGGAAGCAGCAAAAGTCCCTTTGCATGACCCCAGTATGGAAAAGAGGATCATCAAGATGAGGAAGCAGGATCAGGGGGCTGGTGGGACCATCTGAGCAACTCCCCACCTCTACCACCACAGTGAGAACAAAACCACAGGGCTTACTTTAAACAGAGGGACTTGCTTACAAGTTTGTTGCATGTTTACTAAGAGATAACAAGGCGGTGACCTCTGCACATGGGTTAGGTTCCCTTTCTTTTAGATTCCCAGAGCAGAGACTCATGTCCCCGAAGACTTATGTCCCTAGCCCTCTAGGGAGAAGGGCTGCTTTGGCACCAATTTGAAGTATTATGTCCAGATGTCCTGAGGTCCCCAGGAGTGAGGGATTGGACAGACACAACACCTATCCTGGCTTATGAAAAGAAGTAGGGAAGGGAGAGAGTGAAGTAATAATGGTTTATGGAAACAGAATCTGCCTATTTGGTGAAATACGAAACAGTCTATGAAGCAGACAAATTCGGGCTCATTTTCTGAGAGAAATAGCAGCATTTGTCCAATTCATTCCAACTTAGAGTGTCTTGAATATACATGATCTCCTTTAATCTTTTCTCAGTCCTGTAAAACAGTTATATCTTCATTTTACAAGTAAAGAAACCAGGGCTTAGAACAGCTAACTGTTGGCCGGTAGACAGCTGGTTCCCCAGCGCGTTATTTTCCTGCTCCGGGACAGTGTGGTGCCCAAGAATGAAGATACGGCTTTAATTGAGCCAGGCGTGCTTCAGCTGGGGTAGGAGAATCTGGGGACAAGGGTCACCAAGCCAGGAACTCTTCAGGGTGTGTTTTCAAAACTGTTTTGGACAGAAATGGAGAGAATCTAACAGATGACTTTTATATAAAGCCTTTCACTTTTTCCCTCCCCATCTGAGAACTCTGTTTAAGAGTGAGTGTGGCTGGAACACAACTATGTTCAGCCATTTTCCCGTCACCACATGTTTCCAGACGTGTGACCAGAAGAAGGACTCTGCCTAATTCCACTTGTGGGTCCCCTTGGAGTTTACATCACTTGTTTTTTCAGTTATGGATTTTCTATTCCCTTCTTCCAAAACCCAGCATAGGCCTCAGTGTAGGAACAATTACTTTAAAACATAACAGTTCCTTAGCTGCAGGTGATGGCCTCAGTCATTTTAATATAATCTAGATGAAAGTTTTCTCAGAATTCAAACCCCAAAGCAGATGTTTGCTTCTCATCTAATTCTTGCCCAGTAGAAGGCCAAGTTGTAGGAGAAAGGGAAGTCTGGTTGCACGGAGAAAGACGATCTTGTCTACCTTTTGAGAATCAGTTATCAAACAGGAATTATTTAGGCTTCTGAGTTCTCCTATTATTGGAGGAAAAACCCTCCAGAGTTACAAGTTCCACACTCACTAACTTTCACTTTTTAACTTTTCACCCACTAAAATTGGTTGAAGGAAGGGAGTGCCAGAGATGTGCTTTAAAATAGCATTTTGATTTGAGATTCTCTCCATGTTTGGACCTGCAGATACTGTGTACAGAGCTGACAGGTGTCAGGGCCAGGAGTGCTTATGAAGAGCCCTGTCACAAATGAAAAATGGGAGGCTCTGGGAACATGCTATGTGTATCCCCAGCCTCCTCACTCCGACTCTCCCCATATCTAGCAGCTTCTTCCACAAAAGCATCTCAGACAAGATGGGCAGGTGCTCTGCCTTCATGCACCACATCCAAGTCCCCCCACCCTGGGCACGGTGTGGCTTTAAGTGCTGGCCTTGGTGAAAAACCCTCCAGCCAGCTTGTCTGTTGTCCAGGTCTTTTAGTGTCTGGTTTCCTTGCCTTGCATAATTTAAGCATTAGAGCTAAATACATCTGTCATTTTCCCCTCTCTGGAGACCATGAAATGTCCAGACCTTTTCAAAATAGTGGAGAGAAGAAATGTTATGTAACTCCAAGCAGCGGCTGGAACTGTCCAGACATTCTGGGGCTTCCCACAGGCCATTCCTCCTGCCTTAGTGTGTCTGTCAGTCAGCCGGCGTCAATCCAAGAGTGAGCCACAGCTGCAAGCACCCGTGCAGAGAAGGGAAACCAGTTTAGTTTTGAGTTTCAAGCAGAAATTGTGGTGTTGGGACATCAGCTTTGTGCCAGGCTTAACTTACCTCTGTTCCTCATAACAGCTCTGTGGGGTAGGTGAGGTCAACCTGTGAAGCCACCTTTACTCACAGCTCAGCAGTGTCCCAGCCTTCAAACTTCAACCCCTCTTTTCAGGAACAAACTCTCACTTATCTATGAGAATTGATGACAGGAATTAATAGACGTGTGGCATTCCCAGAGAACCCTTAGCCTCATCGTAGGCGACTTTCCCTCCAAACTTCTTTCCATAGTTGCACCCTCAGAAAAATGCTGCCTGTGGTCTCTTCCTCCTCCCTCCTGTGGAAGGGTTAGTAACAGACACCTAGGCTGGGGGAGAAGACTGGAGAGGCAGAGGTAAGCAGGAACTCGGTGCTCAGCCTCTTCCCCGCCATCAGCAGGGACGGGAGCCGGGACGGCTGCAATGGGAACCAGGGTTGTGATCCTGTGTGGTCCCAGTAAGCAGAGGGAGGCGGACATCAGTCCATCCACAAGTGCTCCAAATGGTCTAAAAGCTGTTACTTTGTGTTCAGTGTAGAATATTGACCATAACTTAATGGTCTGCAAACTTGTAAAGAATGTATGTAAATCAAAGTTTTATGTAACAGAATTTTTACCTTTTGCAATTAAAAGTGTGTATGTTGGTTGATAAGAACTTTCCTGTACTTGATGTCATGGTTTGGTTTTCAGTTTTCTCTTCCGTAACTGAGGGCTCTCCTGTGGGCCTCCCAGTCACCTGTCCGTGCCGGCCTTGGTCCTGTCTGACATCCCACCCAGCTTTGTGCTGGCTTGTGTTAACAGACTTCTTTTATCCCCATTCCAGCCCTTTGCCCACTTTGGCTTCTGATCTGCTGTTCCCATAAATTCTCAAATTTCAGTCCTCCTATTAATACCACCCACCCCTGCCTCGTCCCTGCACTTTGCCCTAAATTCAAATGAGACCCTCGATGCCTTTTTCCTTCTCCCATCCGGCTACACGTGGCCCAGGTGCCCTCCAGTGTCACCTCACCTGTTGAAGTCCTTGGTCCTTGGAGGAGGACAGCCAGGCCCCCTTGCTGGCTCACCCCCACTGCCACCAGATCAGGGCCACTTTCAGCACTCAAGTCACTAAATACAGATTTGATTTGAGTTAAGGCATTTTTGTGTGTTCATATTTTGGGGGGTAATTTCTATATATGCACAGTTTTATATAAATGCATAAATATGGAAGTTTATATAGTTTTTAGTGTCCTGTTTTATTTTCTCCTTTACTTCCTGCACCCTTTTCCCTCTCCCCCACCTTACCCTGGTCAGGTAAATGTAACGTATACGAAGTCATGCCCGGCCGTGTGTCTTTCCACGGTTTCCTCCATGCTCCCTAATCATAATCAGAAATCATAAGATTTTTGTCGTTGCTTTGTCAAAAATGGGATCATATTGCAGGCACTTGATGTTTCTTATTTTTCTTACTCAATACCCCGTACAGTTCTCTTGAAGTCAGCTAGCATAGCTCTCTGATCCCTTCTTTTTAATGGCTTATATTCCATGGTATGAATATACCATCATTTATTCAACTGTTCTCTCTTATTGATCCTGTTAAAAGGTTATTCGGAATGTAAGTCAAGAAATCTACTATTAATTTTTAAAATATTTGTTTGTATAGAATGTAAAATATACATTCTTGTTTGCTCCAACTCTAATGTATATTCTTCAAAAATTGAAAAATCATCCCATTCCACAGTACTTATTCATTCACCTGCTTAAAAACTGGACTTCAACCAAAAAAAAAAAAAAGTAAGGGCTGGATTCCATGTAAAAAGGTAGCAGAGACACCTGTGTTCAGTCCCCTCCTTTCTCAGCTCCTTTCTAGCACTTGACACTGACCTGTGGAAAACATCTCCCTCCCTTGGCTTCTGTGAGACTCACTACTTCCCTCCTGAACCTCCTCCTGCCACTTGTCTCCTTTGTAGGATCTTCTGCCATCTCTGAAACATTGGTCTCCCCTACCAGTCTGCCCTTGGGTTTCCTCTTTTCTTATTCCCCGGGAGAGATCTCAACTCTGTGCTTTACCTTTCACCCGTGGGCAAGTCACTTCCAACCTCCATGGCTGGGCCACTTCTCACCTGAGTTCTCGTCGTATAAATCCAAGTGTCAGGAGCTCATCTCCATTAGTTCTCTCCCAACGCACCTCTAATTCACCGTGTCCACAACAACCATGCAGTCTCAGAGGGCTCCTGTCTTTCCTCTCAGCCTCTACTTCTGATCAGGACCAAGCTCTGGAGAGTTCTGCCTCCTTGTCACAGGTCTAGCCCCATTGCTGCTGCCCAGTTCAGAAACGTGATGTTTCACGCCTGGACTCTGCCAGTAATTGCAATTCGTTTCTTATGCGTGTCTGCCATCCCAGTTCACCATACACATAGCTGCCACAACGATCTTTCCAAAACACAGGTCACCTCATTTCCTCGCTCAGCGCTTCTCAATGGCTCTCCACTACCCACAGAATAAGAAGTCCTGGCTGCCCCTCCAGCCTCATTCTACTTCTTCCCTTTGCTTCCCTTCCTCATCTACTGTGCCCCACCTCTACTGGGCCATCTATAATTCCTGGAAATATCCAGGCTTTTTTTTTTTTAAGAGCAGTTTTAGGTTCATAGCAAAATTGAGCAAAATACAGAGAATGCCTATATAATTCGGTTTTTTAATTTATTTTTAGAGGAGTTACTGGGGATTGAACCCAGGACCTCTGCATGCTAAGAATAGGCTCTACTATTGAGCTAGACCCTCCCTACCTCACCTATATTATCTTCAAAGAGTTTCACAAGTTTGCATTTTACATTTAGGTCTATGATCCATTTTGAGTTAATTTTTATGAACAGTGTAAAGTCTGGGTCTAGATTCATTTTTTTGCACGTGGATGTCCAGTTGTTTCAGCACCATTTGTTGAAAACACTATCTTTGCCTCATTGTATTGCCTTTGCTCTTTGTCAAAGGTTGGTTGGCCATATTTATGTGGATCTATTTCTGGGCTCTCTACTCTGCTGTACTGGTCTTTTGTCTATTCTTTTTGCTAATACCACATTGTTTTGATTACCGTAGCTTTATAGTAAGTCTTGAAGTCAGGTGGTGTCAGTTCTCTATTCTCCAATATTGAGTCGGCAATTCTGGGTCCTTTGCCTTTCCATATAAACCTTACAATCAGTTTGTCCATATCCACAAAATAACTTGCTGGAATTTTGATCGAGATTGCATTGAATCTACAGATCAAGTTGCATCCAGGTTGCTTTTAATTAGAAGTTATAATTCCTATCCCATGATAAAATATTTTTTATTGTAGCATAGTCACTTTACAATGTTGTATCAATTTCTAGTGTACAGCACAATGTTTCAATCATACATATACATATACATACACATATTCATTTTCATATTCTTTTTCAGTGTAGGTTACTACAAGGTATTGAAAACAGTTTCCTGTGCTGTACAGAAGAAACTTGTTGTTTATCTATTTTATATATAGTAGTTAGTATCTGCAAATCTCGACTCCCAGTTTATCCCTTCCCATCTCTTTCCCTCCAATAATCATAAGTTTGTTTTCTATGTCTGTGAGTCTGTTTCTGCCATGATAATATTTTTAAACTTTTCTTTTGTCCTGTGTCTTTTTTTGCTTGGTTTGAATTCCATTTTATTAGTGAGCATTCCTTCAACATGACACGTCCTTTAGGCTTTCTTAATAAATCAAACTGACAAGCCCGTAGACACCATGTTGAAGAGAGATATTTCACCAATCTTATTTTTTCAGAATAATGACTTTATTATTTCTGTAAAAATGATTCATTTTCTTATAAAGAACTGAAGACAACTTGAGTGGTCTTACAAAAACCTCCACCCAGTTATAACTACTAACATCAGGTGAACAGCATTCTAGGCGTCTCGAGGGTATTTCTAGCTAGAAGGCTACATAGAAATGCTTTTATTAAAATGGGCTCAGTTATGCTACTTAAAGTACAAAAACACTAAATCAATTTTATGTGAATATAGCAGGAAAAAAAAACTGAAGTAGACATTTCTTCCCCACAAAAGTATATTAATTCCTAAAAGATCTCTCTGGAGTTAAGATTATGAGAAACAGTGAGAAACTAGAATTGTTCTTAAAAAGATTTTCTTTTAGATGGCATGGTCCAAGGCTCTGAAGGTGAGGAAATAGCTTGCTCTTTCTCCAACATTATCTCTTCCTCTGCTTCCCAGTTTGTATAAATTATACCTACATTGATGATATCAAGAGTCCATTGCGATTCCTTCTGCTCTGAAGCCATAATTCTCCGAGTTATTTAACCTTCATTTTATATTTAAACTGATTTGTGACTTATCGCCAGTACTTCTACCATCACTTCTTCATTCCTGAGTTGTTTTCACACTCTTGGTTGGCCGAATTTCATCATTAAGTTTTTCAAGGATGGCTCATGAATGCTGTATTTTCTGTGTTTGAGAATGTTTCTGTGGTCTTGATGCTTGAATACAACAACTTGGCTGAGTAAAATATTCTTGCATCACTCTCTCGCTCAGAACTTTGGAGACATTTCTTCATTGTCATTTGGCAACATTGACTGTTGGCAGGGACAAGACAGGCCAGCCTAAGATTCCCCTTTAGAATGAAAGTGACTATTTTTCTTTCTTCTTCTTCTTCTTCCCCCTTCCCCTCCTCCCCCTCCTCCTCCTCTTCTTCTCCCCTCCTCTTCCTCTCCCCTCCTCTTCCTCCTCCTTCTTCATCTATGTGCCTGAAGAATTCTTTCTTTCTTTTCCTTATTGGTTTTTCCTGGAACAAGGTGTGTCTTTTGAGTTGCAATTCCATTCTTAATTCTGGGAAAGTTGTCTTATATTTTCTTTAAAACGGATACTTTTTCTTTTCCGTTTGTTAGGTTCTCTGTTTCAGATTCTATATTTATTCCTTTGTTTTATTGTCTTGATCTGTTATGACCATTGTCTTCTCTCTTTTTAATACTTGTCTTTTTTCTCATTGACCACAATTATCTCAAGTCTTCCCTCCATATCAGTTTATTTTTCAGCCACATCTATTCAGTTTCTTGTTATTTCTGATGTGTTAATTTTATAAAAATACTCTGTTTATTCCTTTTTATCTCATTCTGTGCATTCATATTTGCTTTCTTGCTTGAATTCATGTTGTTAAATTTTTCTGTAGCTCAAAATGCTATAGGAAAAAATTTTGTTCCTTGGGGAGCATTTTTTTCTAGACCTGGTTTTCATTAGTCACATGTATGTTCCTTCATATACTTGTATAGCCACTCTGCCATTTCTTTTCAATGTCTCGTGCTTAATGTGGAAGCCCTGGCTAGATGTTTTGCTTGCTTCTGTATAATCTGTGTACATTTTCAATTCTAACAATGTCTGTATCCACCACTAAGATTTTACAAATGCTCACATTTTACTGTGTTAACGAAGTAATTGATATATGCAGTGTATTTAGTGCTTGTCACAAAAGCCTCATCTTTGCTCTTTCTTACTTGAGGACCCTCCTCACCAGGTAGACGGCTGAGACTTTCTCTCCCTCCTTCAGGTCGACTTTCTCCTTCTTCATTCTGTCCTCATCAGGACCTCATATTTTCTCAACTGCCTACCGTACTCCATCCTCTCTTGTTTTTTAAAAAAATTCCTTATCTT